ATATATGATTAATTTTCTAGCTATTGAACAACCTACTGGACACTTAGATGGATTTAATCTAATAACGACATTAAAGTACGGAAAGACGAGTAAAGCTAAACCACCCTTCTAGATGTTAGAAAGATGTAATATACTTCTATGTTGTTTAAAGGATTGAAAGAAAATATATTTATAATCATCAACCCTTAGTTACTACATATTTATAATCATCAACTCATAGTTACTATCACGAGATAAGTTTAGACAAGCGAGTTATATGAACTTAAATATTTAGCCAACAATAAATTATAATGACCAAGCAATTAGCTTGTACTCTAATCAATTAATCACACAACCATAACCAAATGATGCAAAAAAACATAAAATACTAAAAAAGAATAAGTTTAGAATTAAAACTCATTAATATCTCACAATAATTTAACTAAAAGCTTCAACTTCTTTTAACCAAGAAAGGGTTTTTTTACGGTTACAAAGTTTTTCCGATAAGAGTAGTGTGGCTATTGGAATTGAAAGATTCCTTAAAATAAAATTATAACTTCTCTATTTATAGCCAAAAATAAAATAACAACACACACATAGCAGCCCCACATGGCTTGTTTGTTGTGACACACGGCTTGTTTATTGTGACACACGGCTTGCTTGACTAAGGGACATGGTTGTGTGCCATTTACACTTTATCTCATATCTTTTTTTTCTTTGTTACGAGTCCTTATCTACCGATCTGTGTGATTTTTTCTCTTCATCTTGAGTCCCTAGCTTATGCTCGTGTGGAATTTGCACTTCATCCTATATCTTTGAAAAATTAGCTTGAATAAATTAATAGAAGCCTAATTAGGGTTTTAATTCTTCATGAAAGTTATAGCCTTATTTCTTATAGTTTTAATGAATTAAGGCTTGTATCAATTGGATATTTACATCTTTATTTATGAGCTAAATACTAACACCAACTTAACCTTTCGCCCAATCTTAGATTCCACTTTGCAACTGAATTCTTCCATGATAACGACCTATTTTGGACTCAAGAACTCTTAAGACTTGTAGGTATGCCTCTTAAGTATTTCATAGGCTTATCCTTATATTAATTGGGGTTTTGAAACTTTGGATATGGATTAGACGCCACAATTGATCCGGACTTTGAATAGGATTTGGATTAACTTTCTAGATCGGAATATAAAATATCATTTCAAGGCCTAAACAAGCTTGTATTTTGATAGACTATATCATTCTAAAAATATTGAGATGTTCTCTATAAAGTCTTTGACGACCACTTCTTCTAAATCTAACATTGAGGCTTTAGAAATCCTACGAGAAGTCTAAAAGGTCTAAGTTAATCGTGCGGGACATCCACATGATTTTTTTCTTTATTTCACATGGCCAATGGCCTTTTCCCTTTGTAATTCACATGGTCGTGTGACTCCTAAGTTCGCCTTGGTGGCTTATGCTTATCTTTAATCTGGTTTTGGATTTCTTTGCTCAAATTTATTATTTTTCCTACTAAATCTGAAATTTTTATCTTGATCTTAATTTAATAAATATAATACAATAAAAACTAAAAAGTTTAATATAAAAGCATTACAATTTGTGGGTATTTCAAATGGTGGTGGCCTTGGTCGTTGCATTTGATGGGGTTAAGGTTGATCGTTAGTGGGTTTATTCGAAGATAGTGGTGGTTTAGGTGATGCTTAGGTGAAGGTTAAGGTTGATTTTTTATAGGTTTATTTAAAGATGGTGATGGCTCCAGCGATGCTCTAATAGAGTGGTGGCTATATATGGGTTTGGTTTTAGTGGCGGGAGTTAGTTCTATGATGGTGAAGGTACTCTTGGGTTGGGTTATTGCTCGGGAATGGTGGTGGTTCAAGTGGTGGTTTGAGGAGTTGTGGTGGCTCACCGGAGGATGAAAGAGGCGAGTGTTTTTGTTATAGTCGTAAAGGGAGGAGAGGAAGAAGATGATGAAAAAAACGGATGTCTTTCTATTCCCTGCAATAATGTTGGTATTTATAGGGGGTAAATTAGGGTTAGATAGACATTGATTTAGGTTTTTGGTTTCCCGATGTTTTTCAATTTTGGTAACATTTTTTTTTGTTTGTATTTCAATGACATCCTTTAATTAAAATTAATCAAGATCTCTTCTTCTCATTTTCATTAATTGTACCTTTCGTTTCTTTCAATTAAGGATTTGAGATTTTGATCTTTTCAATTACACCGTTAATTAGGTTTTCTTTGCTCCTCACATTTCTTATTTTTTTTCAATTAGACCCCTAAAAATAATTTTATTCACTTATCTTTTATTTTAATTTTCTTTTTTTTTAATATATATTTCTTTTGTTTTTTTCCAAGAATTAATTAAAAATAATGTGTAAAAATTAGGTGCTAACATTACACATGGCGTCGGTATCTTGAAGTACCAATTCAAGAGTACTTTTGACATTTTTGCACGTGATCTCATGGGTTAGTCATGCCATCATATAGGTGTATATTGATCTTTTTAGATATATTTTCGTAGGAGTTTTCCATTTAAAATATGAAGAACAAGTAGGAAGACTTGAGGTCTAAGATTATAGTAGCTCGATTTTGATAAAAGGATGATGGTAGATTTCTTACCCATTCACAAGTGCTTAGGTTTAGGGCTCCTGAGACTCGTTTGAGAGAGGAAGCTACCCTAGTGACATTTTTTTTAGCAATCACTTATGTTCTAAAGACACTCTAATTTTTCTTTTCTCGCTCTTTTCCTTACCTAAAACTTTGGTTAGTCGGTCGTTTATCATTATGGTGAGAATGACTTTTTTGGGATTAGAAAAATAGTGGTGTTTTCTTCTTCCATTATCCATCTTATTTCTCTTTCTTACTTCTTCTATGAGGGAGTGTTGCCAACGTATGTTTTGATGAAGAGGCGAGTGTAGGCTTTTCTTTATGCATTTGAGCTAACTATGGACATTTGCAATGATATCCACAGAGTAGTGAAGATTTGGATATGCTATTCTGTAGCTAAAAGTGCCTTTATCAATCTTTGAACTCGTTTTTGTAATTGAAAAAGCTTATAGATTGGGCACTCGAACTAGCAAAACCTACAATGTCATTATAGTTTGGTGTTTCGGATTTTCAATCTTGAAAAAAGCTTAGAGACTCGTGTGGTGGATTAGAAAATGACTTTTAGCATAAGTCTTCATATATGATGCTACTAATAAGGTTGTGAACTTCGATTAATAATGTATGGTGAGATGACTTTTTCTTTGCTAATGCATTGATAAAGTTTTATAGTGGATGGAGATCAAGCTAGCTAAAATATTTATAAAACAAGTCTTTCTTTGTGGATTGGAGGATCATCTCGGTGATTAAGTCACCGTATTGAGAGAGATGGTGGTTTGTGAAGGTAATGATGCATTAATGCAAGTATGTAAAGAGATGGTGAATAATGGTTACTAGTAGAAGGATTTAAAATCTAGAATCTTAGGTCCTTTTACCATTTATATAGCCAAGGATTTTGTTTTTTGTTAAATTACTTTGAAAGAGGGATAAGATAATCTGTTTTCTTATTGTCAACAACTTTTTACATCTAATTAAGGTGCCTTTGATGTTGACATGCCACATTTGAAAGCATATGATTGTGTCATAGTTAGCATTAGTTAGACATAATCGATCATGATTGGATACTCTCATTTAATAAAAACACAATTTGTTCTTTTCAATTAATAAAATTGGATTATGACGTCTAGATTTATAGTTGGAGTGAGGCTATTTGGTATGTTGATAAAGTGACTTAATAAGGTTTATTTTTCCTCTTACACTTTGTGTGGAGTCTTGTCCTCTTCAACACTCATCCGGATAAACAAAAGGGTTTTTAATTTATTAGGAGTTGTATAATATAACATATATCATACGAATATATCACTAAAAATATGTAATAGCAAACTCCTTTCTTTTTATATCTAATTCCTGAAACTAGAAATCGAACATAATGATAATAATAAGAAGAAGAAGAAGAAAAAAAATTATAAAAGGCAGACTACATCTTCGAATTTTTCATCGAAGCTCTCCTTTTCATTCTTGTTAATCCGTAAAAACCTCGTCAATTTGCATTTTGATCAATCAACTCTAACTTACCATCACCTGCCGCGTGGCCCCGTCTAGTCTCGTTCTTCATATGATGACTACCGTTTTTATCCCAGTAAAGAAGCACTAAAGCAGGATATTTCTCTAATAAGCCTTTTAAGGTAAACGAAACCTGGGCCAGGCCCGATTCAAATAAGGATATGTCCCGGATCCGTTATTTCCTCCCAAGTCCTACCGCGAGAATGGCTCGGCTTTAGGCTCTAGGATTTAGCAGTTAGTAATCAGTAGTTGAGCAAGTCAAAGTGCACATGCGAATGAGATCCCTCGCAAACAAGGTCAGATTCCTAGTTTGCTCTCAATTCCATTTGGTTTTTCTCTCTCTTTATATCTCTAATTTTGGTATTGTATTGAAGTTTAATTTCTTATTTATTTACGCTTTTCGCTCGAGAAACTACTCTGATTCTCGAATTTTTTTTTGCAAATTACAATTATTTTTCTTACTGATAGTGACTAGTGAAAAAAAAGAACTGTGTTTGTTTCATTTTGCTTTGTAGTCTTGTGCAGGTGAATGTGTTATTCTTTTGTTTATTTATGCCTGTGCACTGTTTTATTAATATTGAATCTCTTTAATCCTGTTTTGTGTGTGGTTTTTATACAATCAGGCAAATAGCCATTTGCAAGTCCAAGTTTTAAAACCTTACATTACTTCCGCATAAGCTTTTGTAGAAGCACATCTTTCTGCATATGAATGGATTTATATCTCTTTGCCCCTTCCCCGGCTAGCTAGTATCTTTATCAAAAAATAAAAAAATCTCTGCATGCATTTTGGGATTGGTTGTTCTAAATTAATTGTGGGTCTAATGTTACTGTTTAGCTGAACTTTTTTTTTTTTTCTATACTCCAGGTTGCCTTAAAGTTTCTGACTTGTCACCAGAAATTGTAGGATTAGTATGGGTGAAAATTCAACAATTTCTGATCGAAAGATAGAAGCTTTAGCAAAAAAAGGCATGGATCGGATAACAAAGGTGTATGTTTGGGACATGGATGAGACCCTTATACTGCTCAAGTCTTTGCTGAACGGAACTTATGCTCAGGCTTTCAATGGTTTAAAGGATGTCCAGAAGGGAATCGAGATTGGTAGGATGTGGGAGAAGCACATTCTTCAAATCTGTGATGATTTATTCTTCTATGAACAAGTGAGTTTCTGTTCTACTTCCTATATATTAAATTTTCTTGATTTGCATATTGTCCAATTATATTTGGTTTTCTAGTACAATTCTGGATGATTTTGTTTTGAATATTGTAACTATTGACCAAATTTTTGGAAATGCAGATAGAGAACCACAATAAGCCTTTTCTTGATGACTTGAGCCAATATGATGATGGGCTTGATCTTTCTGATTATGATTTCAATCAAGATGGATTTAGCCCTCCATCTGATGATGCAAACAAAAGAAAGCTAGCATATAGACACCGAGTCATAACCAACAAGTACAAACAGGTACTTTTTAAAGATAACGTTTGATAATTATTCCATTTTATTTTATATCTGCACCGTGCTAGCAATGATGATCATATCAACTGAAGTGGAATTCTGAAATTCCCTGCTTTATAATTTCTTTTTGTTCATTATAGCAGTACAAGCCTAGATATAAGAAGGGCTTTTAAAGGTTGTGCTGTGAAAAGTTGGTTGCTTTGGTTTATTTTGTTGGGTTTTTTGACCAGAAAGCCTTTAAACCTCACTAGCAGTTTGTCATGGAACATAAATGCTGACTCTTTGCATTGTAATCATATAGAATGCTAGTTCACCAAGTTCAATGCACTTGTGTTATATATAAATTCACATTGTATGTGTGTTCTTAAGAGAGAGGTGATTGTGAAATTATGCTTACTTTATGGCTATTATAGCTATTTGATAGGTTATTGAAAGATGGAAATTTAAAGTGTTGCCCATTTATTATAATGACATTGTTCCACAAACTGTCAGAGTGTAGAGATCATATATCATAATATGTAACTTTTACAATCTTAGTCTGGAATAATGGCTGAGTTTGACAGTGGGGTTATGGACGTGATACGAGTATCTACCAAATCCTCTATTTTAGGGACTTTGACCATGGATTTAGCAAGCTTTAGTTAACTTCCAGCAACTTCATGATTTGTTGGGGCAGGGGATGGTCATATATGGACTATGGTATTTGAAATTAGCTAGCTTCTTTATTCTCAATGATTTTGCTACTTCCTTTCTGTTTCTGTACGCAGTCTGCATTTTCTTCCATTTATCTCTAAGGAAAGCTATTTACTGCAAGCAAGCTATTTTAGATTTTCAGGAATTGGAATATCGACAGGTTAAAAAGCTCACTTCTCTCTGAAATTTCAGGGTTTGCATAATATTCTTGATCAAGGGATGATCAATCAATGGGAGGAATTATATAATTTGACTGATGAATATACAGATAGATGGCTCTCTTCAGGTATGTGGATTCTCATTTTATGACTGCTGGCAATTTAATCCTTATTGTTTCCTCTGGTGGACTTAGTACTGGACTGTTAGGCAATTCTTGTTGCTGTTTCCAAATGTTGTTATTTTCTGTTATTCTTTTTGAAATCCTCTTCAGAGACGGTTGATTCAAAAGAAAGAGAAAAAGGAAAGGGAAAAGAAAACTATAACATATAAGTATAAAGAAAAAGAAACTGAAGTGTGTATGAATTCAATGGTGTAAAATAACCAGAATGTGATGTAAACCAGGACCTAGTAATCTACCATCTTGATGCCAGATTGCTGAATCTTGCTTTTTAAGGCTTTCAAAGTTTCTCCAATGACTTTGGCGACAGCATAAATGATTGTCATAGCAATATCAAAACCAATTGTATGCAGTCCATAACAAATTGCATTGATTATTGCTCCTTTCTAGTGACTTCAAACATACATATATTTTGATGATCCCTAAGTGGTACTCTGTCTTGCTTTGGTGTCTGAGATGAATTGTGCGGGCAGTATTCTCATATATTCATCACGTTCTTACTCATATTATTCATTTGTCACAAATCTAGCACGGGCATTCTTGGAGCAGTGTTCAGGCAGGATGGAAGACCCAACTCTTTGTCATGCCTCTAGTGATGGGATCATCAATCACACTGATGCCAAGTTTGAGCATGTTAATGTTTTAGTTACTTCTGGATCATTGATACCCAGCCTTGTAAAATGTTTACTTTTTCAACTTGACAATTGGATAACACATGAAAATGGTTAGCTTCCCTTTTGTCTCACCTATATTTTTATTATTGTTTTTTTTATTTTTAATGATGTCAATTGCCATAATTAGTGTTTGAATTAGCAGCTCCATTTCAGCTTTCTTTGGTCTTTGAATGCAATGCATCGTTTCCCAATCATATGGCAAGTGGATGCTCAAATTATCTTCTTATTTTTTTATTTTTTTTTCATAAGAGAGCATTTGTGGCTATCCTAGAGACACTGAAGTTTTTGTACCGTTACGAAAATTTGTGTGGCATTCTAGATTAGAATTGAATGAACTGTTGAATTAATTTATTTTTTGTTTTATGTCACCTAACTCACATGGTGAAGGAAATCTTTACTATATACAGAAATGGTTGAACTTTTGATAACTTACTTTTGTCCTTGTTTATGCTAGATTGCTTGTAGTCATCACCTAGTATCCTCAGAAGATGATATCTCTATTTCCTATCTTGGGATTTCAATAGGTTTTCTCAACTACTAAAATAAAATCTTCATCCTTCTATGGATATTAATACTTTCAAGAAATTTTCTGAGGTGTCAAATAACAAGTTTCATTTGTATTATGTTACAAATAAAGTACGTTAAAAAATGCACACCATGTTTGCTATCCATAAGATTCTATATAGCAAATGAGGTTTTTTTTTCCCTAATATAGAATAAACTACTTTCTATAATTTCTAATTTGGCTCGGTGTTAAAAAAAATTGGCTACATCATTGTTAGTAATAATGCTTTGTGCTGAAATTTGTCACTGCATCTGCTTACTAAATTACCTTCTTTTATAGAGCAATGTCTTTAAACTTGGGACATTGGGTGAACAATGCAATTTAGATGTTTGTGGAGCTGATAATTCCTGCAGTACTTTACAAGCACAAGACAGTCCTATTAGAACTGCCATTCTTTTGTCTTTGAAGTCAGTTCAATTGACTTTCAGTTGAGAGAACTGTCATTATTTGAATTTCATCTGGTTAGGTGCTGAATGTGAAACTCAACTTATAATATTTGAACCTGTTGAAAGTGTGCTTTAATTGGATGGTGTCAACACATAGTTGTTATAACTTAAGAAAAACCTTGAATGGGAGCCTAGGGCAAGGTATTTTGGGATTGGTGGGGACAATTAGAATGAGATAGGATACACTGAGTTTCATGACTTTTACTTTCGCTTTGCCATTCCTAAGGAAATGCAAAAAGTATATCAACCCTTTTACAGTCTTGTTTTTGTTTTTCCTTGAGGTAATTGCACTTCTGGTTTTTCAAATTTTATTGATATGGTTTAAACCCTATTTTTCAACTGCACAGATAAGCAACCTTTTCAATTCTTGTTAGGTGAACGGTTTTTTGATGGGCACTAAAGATGCTTGAGTACATGGCAAAGTTGACATGCAAGAATGTGATGTAGTTTTTTGGATTGACACACACACACACACACACACATATATGTATGTATGTTTCCTAACATCACCTGACTGCTTGAATACTTCTAGTGAATTTGCATTCTTTCCATGACTATATTAGTTAAGATTGTAGGCCTGAGGCGAAGAGTTCTGTTGTTTCAGTCTACAGCTCATGGGAAGTGGGAAAACCTCAATGTTTTCGGTGGATCAAGAACCGTTTTAATGGTCCAAATGTCCAATTTTGTGTAATTGGGGATGGATGGGAAGAGTGTGAAGGTGCACAGGCCATGCGATGGCCATTTGTCAAGATTGATATGCTCCCAGGTGGGGATCACCGGTTTCCAGGCCTTACATTGAGAACTCTTGGCTACTACTTTGCTGTTGTGTACGGGGATCCTGGTACCGAAAAGAATGAAGATGAATCATGATGCCCTTTGTAAAATGTAATCTTTCCTGTTCGGGATATTTATTTGTACAGTCTCAGATGATTGCAATGTGGAAATCATGTTCATTTAACCATATAGATATTGGATGTCTATAAGTGCGTCTAGGGCAACACCTGGTCAGAATGATTTTCCAATGATAAATTCTCCTGGAATGCCTCGTCTTGTATAGATCACATTGTATTGTAATCGTTGCTTTATATATAAATCTTGCATGTTGCAAGTGTTTTAACATAATTATTTGTATAACGATGCGATTTAGAGTGTGGCATGGTGTAATCTTGCATTTTAATGGGCTCACCAAAAAACAGGACGCCCTGCGTATAAAGAGATAGATGCAGATCAGAATCACGGACGGCCTTCTGGGATAGAGATTGGTCGACGGTGTCCCTTTTAGAGTAAGATTGTGCAGGGCCCACACTTGGATCCCTTGAAAGAGATGAGGGCCACGTGGATTGACAGAGTGTAGAGCATTTCTAGTCTAGATTGTCGATGTCTCAAAGACTCGGTCTGAATCTGAAATTTTGAGCGAAAAGTGACATGCTCGCAATATTCTTCGATTCCCTTGTCTAACTATGTTCCATATCATCCACAGAAATAGTCCGCATCTTTTTCTTTTTTAAAGTTTCCTCTGCCTTCATGAATCGACAGAAATGTGGCTGAAAGATGGATAGCTGAATTTTTTGGGTGGTGTTATGCCTATGGGGCGTCCAATAGGCTGTTAGGTCAACGTCTGATATAATCGGATATATATTGTAATGGAAAATAAGATTTCTGTCCTTGTCTCCCTCTTGCCAGGAGTTTATTTTTATCTGTGTTCAAAGTTCAAACCTCAGTTGCTTCTCTTGACGTGCTACACCTTCTAAACTTCAGTTTTAGTCCCGGAGATTAGCTAATGTTCCATCTCTAGGCCTATAATTTAAAATCTCCCAATGTTATCTCTATAATTGCTTTATAAAAGTTTCAATGTTATACCTGGTCATTTAATCTAACAAAGATAAGCGCCTATTTAGTTGCAAGAAAGTTTTACATTTTCTATCCCTGATTTCCTTTTCTGTTCCTAATTGGCATTACAAAAGAAATTAAAAGACATGATAGTTTCACCATTGCTATACTGTTCATTCTCACCTATAACATTGTGGATTGAGTTTTTTTTTTTTTTTTTGGCCTTTTGGGTAATAAATAACCTCTCTTGTTCTCTTAATTACACTTAATGCCACTCAGGATTTGTGAAAATTCACATTTGCCTTTCCTTTTTAATTTTCTTTGCTACCCTTTTTTCGTCATTTTTTTTTGTTTTTTTTTCTCTTTACATTATAAATGGTCTTTCCTTTTGTTTTTAATTACTTTCAATGCCACTCAATAGATTTGTGAAAATTCACATTTGCTCTTCACTTAACCTTTAGCCTTTTTTCGTCATTTTCTTTTCTTTTCTTAATCAAGCATTTAATGTTTTAGTGATTGCATTTTTTTCTCATTTTAGTGAGAGGAGAGGAGCTTCAAGAGCAAATTATAAATTAGTCCCTCTTTCATAGAGAAACGAATTAATTAGTCCATTTAATTTCAAAAACTAATTTTTTTCCTTCTTGCTATTTTTTTCAATTTTCTTGATTTTTTAAAAGAAATAAAAAATAGATAAAAATATGAAAAAGATTGATGAGAAAAGATGACATTTTTGAAAATAAAATAATAAATTAGCCTGGATAAAAAGATTAAATAATTATTTTTTCAAATCAAAAGGATTAATTAATTCATTTCTCAAAACAAAAGTGATTGATTTATAATTTATCTATCACTATATTTACATCTACTACCTTAAATAAATATATCTATCACACTATTCACATCTAATGCATGAAATAAATACATCTATATGATATGTTTTTATATTTTAAAATAAAAATATATTTTAGATTATATTACTATTTTTTTAATTTATTTATTCAATTTGTCATTTCTTATTAAGATTTTCATCAAATTAATTATATTTTAAAAAAAATTCTTATCACTTTTTTTTTAACTCTTTTTTTGTGTATGTCTGTCTTCTCAAAATGAATTATAAGTATTGTTAGTTACTTTTTAGTATTTTAAAATTTCTCCATCATTATAGATAAAACAAAACATGGAACTAGGAAATCAATATATGGGGTTAACAAATTGATTTTCGGCATGATTTATTTAGTTGTTCCTACTTTAAAGATAGCAAGAGAGTGAAGAGGAGAATATATTGGGATAAGTTAGATATTTATCTAATTTGATAAAAGAGCAGGTTTATCTGTTCAAATTAGAAGATGAAAAGCACGTAGGAAAATATGTTTTTAATGAGAAAATCATGGAGAACTAGGAAAAAATGTTTTCCTTGGATCCAAATGGAAAAGAGGCTTATTTGAACATAACATTTAATTTCCATTCTCTATGGAGATAATTTTGTAGAAAATAGAGATATTTCACTAGGTTTTCAATTATTAGGAGTAAAATTGGAGAAGCTTTTTGGAAATTATAGGGGATATGGATGAATTATAAGAACAAAAAAAATAGTTTAAACTTTCCTAAATAAATCTTATTAATTTTGAAGCTATACAGGATCAAGAGGGTCCAGGTTTACTTACAGCTGCAGCAAGTTCCAAAAAAGACAATAACCTTATCTAATCAGGGGGCAAAAGTTGGGATTATCATCTAAAGATGTTCACCAATTTGCCTTGAGGTAGCTGCCAACCATTGCCTTATTTCTTCTATTTTGCTTGCATCATCAACAGGATTGGTCAATCATTACATACTAAGCTTTCAATTTTCATTAATCATAGAAATCACACATACAGACGAAGGGAGCCCCCATCCCTCCCTCTCGAGCTTGATATCAAATAGATGAAGCAAAAGTCGTTTCGATCCCGTCAATCCAATCCGAAGAAGATCACGCGTGGTAATGGCTAGCTACGTAGAGTATCTGGTTGCTTTCCCATAAATGTTAATAGTTTTGTCAGATGGAGTTGGGCTTCAATATCCACCAGCCAATTGGTGATGTCTTCAGCTACCTGATCTGGACGGAATGCTATCAATCCAACAGAGTGAGGGAATCGATGTTGATCATATATTTAGATCGGGTCATGACTAGCTCTGTCTGCCAACAACATTTGAGCCACTACATGAAAACACAAATTAAAGACAAAAGCGACAATTCAATCAAAAGTTGGAAGAGCAATTCACAAAGAAGTGGAAGAAGGCAAACCTTAATACCTTATGACCCAATTACCAAATAACTCATATGACTATAAAACCATAAAAACACCATCCATTTATCAATACTTTTTTCCTACACGAACAATGAACCTTATTAAAATGAAATCCGTGTTAGAAACCTCAATTCCCTTTTTTTTTTTTTAATAAAAAAAATATAAAAATTATTGAAGAACTTGCCTATTTGGCAGTGGATGTCTACTCGGAAACATATTCGACGTGACCTAGCAGCCACTAATCTGGGCAGCCACGACCATAGACAATGTCCGAACATCTTAGTTACTGGTTTTATTAAAAGCAAATAAAAACCAACATAATTAAATAATAATAATAAAAATTTCATAATAAATAAATAAATAAATAAATTCATTGTAAATTAAAATAGATAAAGAATTAAAACTTTTTACTTTGATCATTAAAAAAATTAAAGATTAAAATCATATTATTATAATTTCATAGCGAAGAGATAATTGAACCATTAAAATGATCATAATTGAACAAATTAAAAATAACTAGACTAAGGAATAGAACATGTTGTTTTCTTAAGACGATACGTGTTATTCTACGAATTTATCTAATACAATAGATTAATTATAAATTACATATCATCTAAAAGATACAATAACCCAACTATTTTTATCGTAGTTTTATAAGTCTGCATCATTTATAAAACAAAAAACTCTTATGTAGCCCTCATTTTACCAAAAGAAGTATGAAAATAAAATACCATTGATAATAGAGTATAGTAGTACGCTTTATAGTATGACCAACAACATAATCAAAGATTTATTTTTATAAAATCACACGAAATATATTTTTCAAAATACAATAGGATGCATTTTTATAGTTTGGCTAAATAAATGGTTACAAGCATCTTTAATTATCATTATTGTTAGTGATCATCATGACATGCAATTAAATTACTAAATATTAATATTTATTTCCTCTTTTAATTTGTTACTCATGCACACCAAAAACATATGATTAACACACCAACTTATAGGTGTAGTTAGATCAATACATAAAATGATCTCATTAAAAATTTTGAATATAAATTCCTATTTAGTAGATTTTTTTTAAAAAAAAAAAAAAAAAAACTTATATAACTATATTTTATTTAAAAATATAATAATGATATTAATAATTTTGAACAAAATTAATTTTTATAAAATATATTATTTGTTATCAAAATAATCCAACAAACCATGGTGTGCAAGGTCAAATGGCTAAGTTGTAACACCCTCGACCTAAGACCTAGATAAGTTGAAGATATTACCGGTATTGACTTACATTCGAGGTACAATAAATGCAAGCCAACAAACCTACTCTCTTAACATTTTCAGTTTATTGGTTAAGTAGACAATTCTTATATGAGGTTCCAAATAAATATGAAATAATAGGTCCGAATTAGATAAAACATAGGCATAAATTTTTTCAAAAATTCAACCAACTTCAATTAATATTCCTATAGAAATATTAAACGCTATATTTTGCTCAAAAATCCATATCCTTGAAATCCAAATTAATCACTTAAATAAAATACCTTACATTAAAATAAGTTGAATCATGTCTCTTATTTTTCTTAAATCCTTTTAGAACTTCATGTAAAATTTAATTTAGGAATATTTCTTTTTCAAATATTCTACACAATAAGGTAGGATTATTTGATATTGATTTTATTTCAAAAATAATTGAATTATCAAGTATTACATTTAGTTAAAAAATAATCCATGAATAGTAACCATTAAATC